CCGCCACGTGGGTGGAAGGATGCCCCTGCCCCCTCAATGCCACCTGCACCCAGGACCTAGCGAAGGGAGATGCCGCCTCAGTGCCTGAGCTCATCCGCCCTAAGCCCTAGCTCCCTGCTCTGCTCCTGAACTCAGAGAGCCCTTCCTTTCTTCACCTCATCTAGGGCAGGGCCAGGGCATAGTTATTGTGTTCAGGTGACCTGGGCCCAAGAATGTCCTGGGAAAAACATTTTTAGACTATGGATGTGGGAAGACATAGCCTGGAACAACCACGGTGTCTTCCATGGGGTGCTCTGGTGGACACTGAACAGCTACGCACTGGAGCATTTATGGCTGGAAGTGGGAAAACCGACAGCGCCGCGCTGCAGGCAGGGCCTCTGCTTCTCTAGCTGTGCAGGCAGGCGGCCCCATTCAGGGGGTTTGCTCCTTGGTTTGGGGAAAATCACTTCAGCGGGCCTTCTGGCTCTGCACAGGTGAAGCAAACACCCTTCCTTGGAAGGAAGAGGGCTGCGCGTACAAGAGCAGGCTGCTTGGTGTCACAGCCCCAAGGCCCCTGTCCCACACAGGGTGGAGCTGTGTCGCCAAGAACGTGAAAGCGGTGGCTCTCACACCTTTGTGACGATCCCCACAGGTGTGCACAACACACAAGCGTATGTATGTCAGGTTGAAAGAAACTTCATGAGACAACACCTGGCTTTGGAACTCCATCATTTTCTATTCTATTCTACCCCAAAATACGGGTTAGGACCCCCTGAATTGATTTCATCACTCACTAGTGGGCCAACCAGCATTTGGGAGAACACTGCTTTCAGGGTACCATCTTTCTCTGGCCTCAGAGTGGCTGAGGCCTGGATTCTGGGTGGGGAGAGAGACAGGCAGGTCTGTACAAGGGGCTAAACATGAGGCCCTATGTCACAGGATGCTTTGAGACACTCTGGGTCAAGGACAGAGTGTGGCCCGGGGCTGGGGGAAGAGTCCGCCTCACCCATGAGCCACCTAGCACCTCAAGACACGGGACTGTCTGGAGGCAGCCTCGGGACTAGGGCCCTGGCATCGTCCTGGTGGACATCTCCAAGCGGCTCTGTTCAGTGGACAGGGGCCAGCAGGGGCCAGGGCAGGAGAGGAGGGGCGTGGCCGACACCAGCAGATGCTGCTGGGGAAGCAGCGTTGCAGGCAGCTGCTGTGGACGCACCATGGAAACAGCAAAGAGGCTTCTGCAAGGGGCTGAGGCCCCGCCACGGGTGGGGTGGTGGCGCCAGTGGCATCTGGGTCCAGCACGGGTGACCTGGGCCCTAGTGGTGGAGGCTGAAAGGCCTCCTGGTTCCTTGCCCCTGTCTTATTGTGACTTGCTTTAAGATGTTGTCTGAAGCTGGGAATCTCCCAGGCTGTGCTGCCCTTCTCAGGGGCAGTATGCGCCCCGCCTCCCACTTGCCCTCAAGATAATGGCACACTCCTGTTCACTGCATGCTCACTGTGCACACTGCCCCACGTGACGTTCTGGCCAAGTCCTCTAGGACACAGGCACTCTTTTATCCCGGTTTACAGATGTGGGAACTGAGTTCCCTGCCCACTCAGTGGCACAGTCAGGGTTGGAGCCCTGGTTGGCTGGTCTCTGGAGCCCACTCTGGACAGGGGGTGCCTGCACTTACCGCGGGCTTCCGTCCTTCCTTGAGCAGAGTTTTCCTTCTCAGAGGCCCCTCCATGGTGGGCACTGCTGCTGAGCTCCCCAGTGTACAGATGCACGGGCCAGTGGGGCTAAGGGGACAACACCGGTCAGACATCACCTAGAGGAGCTGAGGTCAGGCACCCTCTCACTCACTGGGGCCCGTGGGTCCCCCACTGCCAAGCCCACGATGCTGCCACAGGCCAGAGGACTCAACAATGCTGGGGCCAGGCCAGGGAGGGGAGGGCCCCGAGGCCGCAGAGAGCATGAAGGAAGGTGGCCCCGGGCTCATCCACAGCTGAGAGCTGCACCTGCCCCATCTTTCTGAGTTCTGCAAAGCTCTAGGCTTGGTGACCAAGTTCCCGTAACCCAGGCCCCTAGTAGCACCCCACCCTATCCTGACCTCTGCGGTGGCTTCTTCCTACGGTGGCCACTCCCCTGGGCTCCCACCTGTGGGTTTCCTCTCCACTTGGGGAGCTTGTGCCCAGTGCAGCCCCTCCTTCCTGTGTTGGCAGGAGGCTTGGAGGAGCATCGAAGAAGTGGGAGAGGTGGGGTGGCGTGAGAAGGTGGGAGCAGGTGGCCCACATGCTACCACGCGCTGTTCCTCAGGGTTCCTTGTCACCCTCGGCTACAGGTAAAGGCGTCCAAGTGCAGCATCAGCCCAGACCTCTCTCTCAAGCTCCAGCCACACATGTGCAGGAGCGCGTGCTCACTGGACAGGCACCTTCCCCAGCTGGCTCTGCCTCCCAGCCCAGCGAATGGCACCATCACCCACCCGGCCGCCTGGGCCAGAAACCGAGGGGTTCTCTTCTCTCAGCTCTCCACTCCTGCAACCGAGTCAATCCCAAGGATGCCTGACCCCATGTCATAAACATGGCATCCCACTCCCCCACCTCAGGACAGAACTTGATCTTCCTTTGAACGGCTGCCCCGGCTCTGCCCTGGCCTCACACCATCCCCTCTTGCTCTCGTCTGTGTGCTCTCCACACCGCAGCCAGGGTGACCTGGTCACGCCCCCACCCTTCCTCTCCTCCCCTCTCACATCCAGCCCCTCCCGCTGTCTGATGCCACCATCCTTGCCTCTGCCTACCTCTCTGCCTCATCTCACACCCCTCTCTTTTCTCATTGTTTACAACACTGACCTTCCTTCATTCCCGGTTCCCTTGCCCTTTCTGCCTCATGGCCCCATGGGCTGTCCCCTCTGGCTGGGGGCGCTCTAATTAGTCCTCCACCTCCCCTCCCTTTCTTTTCCTATCACTGTTCCGGTCTTTTCTCCAGGGAGGCGCTCCCTGCTTCCCCCGCCTCTCCAGACCATCGGCACCCAGGATTTTGTCTCTCCTGTAGCAGCGGCCTCGTGGACGGAGGCAGAGGCCATGCCCATGTCATTCGCAGCCTCCGGTGCAGTGCTTCGCATCCAGCAAGCACCTTAGAGTTTATTTATTGAATAAACGAACACACGAATGAATACCTGTAGACGCAGCTCCGGGTTCTGGGAGAATTCCGAACTGGAACCCGCCAGTTGGGCCCCAGCGTGGCATAGAGCCGTCCCCTGATTCAGAGGGAAAAAGGTGAGTTTTAGCAACAGGCTAGAAAGACCAGACACTCTGAAGGGGGGCAGAGCATCTCAGGCTCTGTGGCCATTAGCTCAGGAAGTGCCAGCCCCATTCTTCCCCCAGCCTCCTCAGTCACGCTGACAGCACACCTAAGCTGCAAGCTCAGTGAACCAACAGCCCCAAAGCCTCCATCCGGGCAAGTGCCCAGGTCTCCAGATAATTATTTCCTTAACTTTTTAAAATTAAATGTTCACCGTTCTTCTAGTGGCAAGGTGGTGACTAAAATCCAGGCACGCACACTTACTCCAGTGTCAGGTTGAGTTGTTCAATAGAAAATGCCTGGATATTCCATGGTAAACCCAACTGAAGGTGCAAACAGACACAGAACTATGGGCCGTCCTGCACGTCGAGCCAGGGGCACGGGCAGCAGTGCCATTCACTAGGCACAACCGAACTCCTGCTTGCTCCATCCTCTCCACCGGTCCCCTGCCAACCTGCTCTGTGACCTGCTCTGTCCAAGAGTTCGTGCTTCAGGATCTGTCCGTGGGCTGCCCGGCTGGCTTCTCTCTCACCCGAAGTCACCAGCAGTGAGCCTTTCCAGGGGGAGGTGCTGCTTCCAGGGTCAGCAGGAAACTTAACCTATTTGGGGGGAGGCTCCCCCTCATTACCCTTCCGTCTCTTAGCAGAATGACGTCCTGTGTCCACTTGGTCCTCAGCCTTCTCCCCGCCCCTGCAGCATGGTCTGTCCCTGGGCTTCAGCCTTCCTTGCCCATTGGCCAAACAAGGATGCAACCCAATTTACAAAGTCCGACGAGGTCCAGGTTTCCTCTCCACATGTCCCCTCTGTTCTCCACTGCCAGTCCTCGTGGCTGCATATTGCTCGGCGGCCCTGGACACCTGTGGCCGGTGTGTGGACATCCTCATTCCTTGGAGCAGGTACATCACAGTATAGCTGAGCTCAGGCTCCTCGGTGAGGGGCTGTGTTGCTCTCTGCCCCTCCATCCTCCACTCAGGAAGGGACGGTTCTGGATGCCCATCTTGGGTCCGCCGTCCAGGGGCCCAAGTTCAGGACTGGTGGGAGTCTGACAGTCATCTAGGTCAAGTGCTCTGGGACCCCACCGCAGCATGTGCTTGGCCCCCCGAGTCCTCAAATGTAATGGGTCTTGGTCCTTTCCCCACCACACCTGGCAGGTGATGGTCCCAGGCTGAGCCCACCCACCCCACCAGGAGCTGTGGCACAGACGGGGCCCTGGCACACTCAGCTCCCAGCCTACAGGCCGACTGCCTCCTCCCTCTCTTCAATCCGGAAAGGCTTGCAAGGCACTCAGTGAACAGCATGCTCTATAGGTAGCGATGAACCTGCTCTAATTTATGAAAAGCTTCAGCAACTTCACCACGACTGGCAACGCCTGTCGCACACCTCACAACTGGATGTGATGCCACGACATGTCGCAACCCGGTGCTTAAGCAGTCAACTTGGAGGGCTCATTAACAGGGTTGCTTTCCTCCCAGCCATACCCAGGGACTTCTCACGAGTCGGCGCTGGGGCGGACAGCGAGCTTTCCTACGGTGAGGGCCGCCGCGTTGATTAGATTCCTGCTCCAAGCTGCCTCAGGGGTGGAGCTGGGCATGGCGCCTCCCTCCCAGCTCTGGATCCTCTGGCCTCTGCCCACCTCTCTTCTCATGGGTCTCCTTTCCCCGGGACCCCAGGAAAGCGTGTGAGGATAGTGGACGGTTGGCAATGACAGCAGTTCCTCAGACCGGGCGACATGGCGGGTGCTGCTGCCTTCTCTTCGTCCTTCCCCCGCTTCGTGGCAACAGCCCCTGGCTGCCCACTTAGCAGATGTTGGGCAGCACTGACGTGTTGCTGGAGAGCCCTGAGTCAGCGTCCTACTCGCCTCGCCTTTCATGCAGTCTTTCCTCACGTTCTTCCTGGAGGAGGTGCTCCCAAGGGCACTGGGCTGGGGGGTGCCGGGAGGCTGGGCTCATGGAGGGGTCACTAGTTAGCGAGTGCTCCTGTGCGCCAGGCCACACACTCATTCTCCTGTGGGAGCTTTGTTCAAGCACCATTATCCTCCTCAGAATGGGGAAACTGAGGCTCATGTGGACACTTCAATGAGGTGTGAGCCTGGTTAGCCAGGATTGGAACCCAGGTCTGCCTGACTCTGTAGCCCAAGCTCCTCCCACCCCTGTTGGGGTGGGGACTGGCTGAGGTGTCCCGGGTGGCAGAGTCTGCCATGGGCACTGGGCCCAGGTTTGGGGGCAGCTCCGTGTGGGGGCCTTCCCAGCATTCTTCCCAGAGGCACCAGGGAGGGTTCTGCTGGCTGTGGCTGCCTGGCGCTAAGAGCAGCTGCCGTTTACCGAGTGCTGACTCTGAGACAACTAAGCACCTTCACACACCGCCCCTCCCAACCCTGTGAGGGGGTACCGTTCTCACCCAGTCTTAGAAGAGGAAACTGAGGCTCAAGGAGGTGAAGCCACTTGTCCCACCCCAGGGGCCTGCCATTAGGGATGGAGACGCAAGTGCTCACGAAGGGAGGGTGGCTTTCACGTGTGAGCGGAGGGCCCATGTCAGTCAGGCTGCCCCAGGTAGGGAAGTCAGAGCTGGCTCCCCTGCAGCCCGGGGGAGTGACCCTGGCCTGGAAGGGCAGTATAATGGTGATTTTCCCCGAGGCCAGCTTTTAGGAGAACAGAGTCAGGGCTGTGGCGGCCATCCTTCCTCCCAGGGTGACTGCTGCAGGCCTAGAGGAGGGTGTTACAGTGGGGTGGCTCCGGCTGGGCCCAGGCAGACTGGCTCCAGCACAGAGGAGCCAGGGTCTTCGGCCACCAGGGCCAGATCATGTCCCTGCTTTGAGAAGATTCGCTATTCGAATGTTCGGGGCCAGAAAATGCAGGATGAATGGGCAGCGGTATCTGACTCCAGAAATCATGGGCTTGATCTAACATGGGGGGTCCCACTCCAGAGCCACAGGCACCCTTCCAGCATCATGCTGGGAACAAGTGGCTGAACAGGATGTATCCCAGGAAGGCCGTTTTACTATTCTTTCCCAGGGGTGGATCTTGGGGGTGGCATAAAGAGGGGCTGCAGCAGGCAACCCTCCTCGTGGGAATCTGGTCTGGGGATGATGTAGGCTGGCAGCCAAGTGGAACACCTCAGTCTCAAAGGCTGTGCAAGATGAGGGGATGATGGTGGCAGGATGATGGGGTGATGGGATGGTGGGTGATGGTGATGAAGGGGACGACGGGTGCCAGGTAATGTGTTAAGCAGTATTCATTCATTCTCTCATTTAATCAGACAATACTGTGAGGCCAGCACTATTGTTATAGTCCCTTTACTGATAAGGAATGTGAGGCCTGGAGAGGTGGAGTCACTTGCCCAAGGTCACAGCATTAGAAATGGGTACTGCTGTTGAGGGGGAAGCAGCCAGGGTCCTTGGGCCAACAGCATCGTGGGAATTCAGACTAGCCAAGTCAGGTCTGAAAGGCACCTCCCCCTTGAGAGTTTCCGAGGTAAACATTAGGTGGCAGGGATCTGGGGGGTTAAATTTCATAATTTCACCATGAGTCCCTGTTACTGGTCTAGGAGGCTGGGGAACAGGGAGACGTCTTGGATATAAACCACACTGAGGCCTCAGTAATCTTGTCTTAGCAGAAACAGGACCCCCCCCCCATTCTTCTATCTCAAGTGCACAGAGCCCCTGGTGGGAGCCAACCTGTGGCAGGATCCAGGCGAGGCTGTGCTGCACCAGTAAACCCTGGAAGGGATGCCATCCCATCAGGCCAGGGCTTGGTCTTGGTGACTCACCCTCATCTGCAGCGAGAAGCTGCCACCCTGAGCTCTGCTGGGCCCTGGGACGTGCTCCAGCAGTGCTGGTGAAAGGACTTTCACTGCCTGTGAGTCACTCACTCTGCTCTGGGCATTGTCCCTGATCCACTGAGCGAGTCCCTAGAAGCCATCTTTGTCCTGCATGTTCGGCTGAGTGGACAGAACAACACCTGATCCGAGCCGGGCCAATCAGATTTCTCTCCTGGCCATTAGGAACCATATCTGAGGGTCAGGCCCTGTGGCTGGGTGAAGGTGTAACACATAAACTTGGGAGCTGTGTGGTTTCTATCTTCCCCTCTGTGAGCTGTGGAGTCTAGAAGTCTGGTCTGCAGGGAGAGAGGGGAGTCCAGCAGATAAGCACAGAGGATCGACATGAGACAGGAGAGTCCTGCCCGCTTCCTAGGACCTGACTCGGGAGGTTGGAGGGACTGGCCAGGGAGGCTGTGGCAGAGATTTCTTATAAAGCCGCAGCAGGTGAGACAGGGCCCAGCCCCCAGCTGGGGCCCCAGGACAGGGCCAAGCAAAAGGCCCCGGTATCGTCGCCCACTGTTCTCTCTCAAAGGGGCCCAAGCTCCTGGGTGGAGCCTCGCTTGCCAGACTTCAGTGTCTGCTGCTGAGAGCAGGGCAAGAGATGGGATCTACGAGGGGAACCAGAAGCAGAAGCTTGGCACGTGGTGCAGCTGGGCTGCCACCCACGGCAGAGAATGGCGGACCCGAGCTGGACAGGCCTGAGGAAACCAGACTGCAGGGTGACAGATGAGGGATAGGGGCCTAGGGGATTCCTGGCCCTCAGCTGAAGGGCAGGCTTGGGGGCGAGGACCTCTGTGAGAGCCACCCTGAAAGCACACTCCCACAGTTGCACTTCAGGCAAAGTAGACCTCTCAGCCCCGCGATCGCCTCCAGAGCTTCACCCCACTCCCAAAACGCTGCCGAGTTTGGGGCTCAAGATGTCCCCCTGTAACCTGGCAAACCTGGAGCATCTGCCAGAGCTCTCTGCTCTTCTGAAGGGAGCAAAAGAGTGCCATTAAAAACTGATTTCAGGGTAGCAGGCTTGGGGCTCTGCTGCCACGACTCTACCGTCCTGGGGTCTCCCTAAGGATGTTGAAGATTCCACCAGCTAAGTAAACCTCACACAGGAAGAAACTGCATCACCCCACCTCCTCGACACCCTAGAGCACCTGCAGGGCTGACTGTCGGCAGCCTCCCCTTACGGGGCCTTCCCCACAGTTCTCCGCATCCTGGAGTCCAGCTGGGGCTAGCGAACACTTGCCTTCACTGTAGTCCATCCATCCCATGAAGACTGAACTGCCATCTGGGGAATTTTCTCTTCACTCCACCCAGCTTTAGACCCCTGGGTCACTTGCTTGCTGGCAAGAGGTACCTACAACATGAAACTCATAAAAATCCCTAAGTTCCCCAAATGTAGCCACTCCACGGATTTGCTAAGTATTTCCCGTGCGCGTCCTCACTGTAGCATCAAGGGACCCGAGGCTCAGGGAGGCTGAAAGACATGCCCAAGGTCACTGAGACAGTAAGTCCTGACTGCGGCCCCTCCCAGCACCAGTGGCCGCGTCCGGGAGCCAGGCCGTGGCCCTGCACTTTAGAGACACACTACGAACTTCAGGGACCAGCACACACCCTGGAGCCCACCTGTCGTGCGGTGACTTATGAGAGACACCAAGCATCCCTGGGCCACCTCTGCCACCCGGCTCAGGCCTCACAGCCTCCTCAGGTCCAGGATCCCCAAGGGCCCTCTGTGGTTTCTTCACCAAATGTCCTGGGGCTTCTGCTTAACCGTCGCCTGTACCAGGAGCCACCCCTGAACCCGCAGCCTGATTTGGTCCCCCTGCTGGACACCCCACTGTGTGCGACACGTCTTCTTCATGAGCCTCTGTAACAAACTTCATGACATACTCTCATATTTCACCTCTTAAAAACTGATCAGTAAACATTTTTTATTATATCTTCTTTAAAAAAGTTAAATGTCACTTTTTTTTTCTGGGTGTAAAAGAAACACTCATCCACTGTGAAAATTTTGGGGAATACAGACAAAAATAAAGGAAGAAAGTCACTCCATAACCCTATAACTCAAGATAACCCAGGAGAATGACATTATGTATTTTCGTGCCTACGTATATCTCTAGCATCTTTTGTTCCTTTTAAAAAATGTCACTTAAAAATCGGACTCTTAGGCTGATATTCTTGTTCTCATTTTCAGAGCCAAATCAGGCATAAAGCAGCACCTGCGGCCTCACGGACGGGTCTGGCTAAAGCAGCCTCTTCCCCTTTCGTTTCTGCGAGGCCTGAGGTTTGCTTGAGGTCAGCCTGGTGCAGCGTCCACAGTCCCTACTTTCCAGTTACTAAGTCCATGTGGACAACGCCTTTCCAGGGCCACCTTCCTCCCCTCCCTGGGAAAATGGGAGTGTGACACAGGTCTCTCCTTCTGTCTTTGTCCCCACTCCCAGGACACTGAGGCAGTTGGGGACATAAGAAGTGTCTTAAGAGCGAAGGGGCCCATCCCCCCTCCCCAGTGACTCTGGCCTCTGGCTCCTGAGGCTTTGACCCAGGACCACCACTCTGTCCTCATCCTTTAGGGCAGCTCAGGGGGCTGAGAAATGACCAGTGCCTCCCTGGGTGCAGCCACCAACATCCCCTCTCCCCAGCGCACAAGCCCTATGACCTTGCTGAGGCTAAGCTGAATGAGGGGACGGGAGGACGAGAACAGCAAAAGGTCCCCTTTGTTCCCCGAACCCTCATTCCATAGTCCCAGCAAGAACAGGGGTTGGTGGCTGTGCCACCTCTCCGCCTGACCCACCCCACAGAGAGCAGCACAGCAGGTCCCAGGGGGTTCTGTGGGCTCCCACGTGGGCACTCTTTAAGGACAGCCACTTCAAGAAGCACTGGACGCAGCCTGAACTCTAGCTGCCGCTCAAGGATCGCCTTTGGGCCTCCGGGCTGAAATGTCCGTGCGTATAAACTCGGGGAAGACAAACTTGCCAGCCTTGGCCGAACAACGGGAACCCTCCTGCCCGCCTGTTCACAGTGGCAGAAAGAGTGATGCAGAGGTGCCCTCGAGCCAACGGAAAGGTGTGTGCCTGTGGCAGGGCCATCGGCCTGGGGCCTCCCCGCCCTTCATGTTGGAATCTGGCTCCACTTCTCCTCCTGGCCTGGGCCAAACCTGTCACCAGGGCCGGGGGATGGGTGGGCGAGTCAGTTACAGGCTGTGGTCCCTAAGCTTCAGGGCTGTGGGGCAAGGTGCTGCCCCCACCCCAGCCTGGCCTCTGGGTGTGGCCCAGACCCCTCCTGCTCCCTTGGCTCTGCAGGTATGAAGACGCAGAGAGCGGTGTCTGCCAGGAACAGCCGGTCGGGTCTCTGAGAGAGAGTCTCACTTTGCTGAAAGTGCTTTGCAGGCTCTTTCGGGACAGATGCTGGGGGGATGCCTGGGCTTCCGGGGAAGAGGGAATCTGCTCCCCTTTACAGGGCAGGAGCAATGTGACCTGGGGGAGGCCGGGGTGGCGGGGGGACCCAGTGGGGTTGAGCACTGGGTGGGCTAAGGTTAGGAATAAGGGAGGCCCGAGTGGCAACCTGAACGGTGGTCACTGGACCATGAGAGAAAAGAACATATAACAAAGATTTCAGAGGGTGTGAGGTTAATCACCCCCTCTAGAAAAGTCTAGAATGCTCACGTGCTTTTGAGGGCGTGAATTCTTTCTGGGGGGCATGAAAAGAGGCTAGTGCGGGATGGAAATCGAGGCTGGCGGCTGGGCCACCAGAGCTGGAGGCCAAAAGGCAGCTGTCGTTGATCGTCAGGACTGCCTTGGGTCTCCAAAGTGGCGAGAGAGGATATCCTGGCCCCACAGGCACCTTCCAAAGCAGGTTGTCTCCTGCTACCCTCAACAAGGAGGGGCTGGAACAGGTGCCAGGTCCCAAGAGAATGAGAAACAGGGCATTCTCCCTGCAGGACTGTCCTGAAGGCTGCTTGGGGTAGAGCTGGGCCTGCACAGGTGACCCAGCCGCAAGACCAGCCTCACCCCCAAAGCACCTAGGACAGACATTTGGATGGATGGTAAATCTAATGCTACATTCTAAGTGAAAGAGAGAAAAGAGAAATGCTGTATCTTGCAGCATTCCCCACTGAACAAGTACAACATGTCTCTCTGGGTCAGAAATTCTCTGTCTTCCTTCCTGGTAGCTCGTGGGTGCTTAGCAGGAACTGTCTCTGCTGCCCTCCGTGACTAGCGTGGTGCAGTTGCTTAATAAATGCCTACTGAATGAATGTATGAGTGAATGAATGAATGAATAAATGAAGGAAGGAAGAAAGGGTGGGAAGGAAAGACGGAGGAAGGGAGGGAGGGAGGAAGGAAGGAGCTAACCAACAGGTCCAGGTCTGGGTGATACTCAGGATCTTGGCACTGTGCCTGCCTTTCCCACTCAGCGTCCCCGCATCGGCCTGTGGCCAGGAGGGATGCGGGCGTGCACCCAGGAGTCCCCTGATTGGTGCTGAGAAAAGTCATATGTACTCATCAGATCTGGAGTCTGCCGCCAGTGCCTGCCTGGTTCTCATCCCACTGCTGAGTGGCCCCTGAGCAAGGGCAGTGGGACCCACCTGCCTGAGCTCCCCAAATGAGAACAAATGCCCCTCTAGGAGTCTTGGAGTTGGGACAGAGGGAAGGGCCTTGAGGGCCCATGACATTATTGCTCCCCATTTTCTGCCCTCCATCTAGGGTTTCAAGGACAGACAGATTGACTGGTCGATGTGGGGCCAGTGCCCTCTAGATGGGGCCTGGAGCACGGTGATGCAGAGGTGGGTGCGATGGTCGGGAAGGTGTGGATTTGGGGCACCTCTGCCTCAGCAGAGGAGTGTGAAGCGGGACAGGTCACTTCACCTCTCTGAGCCTTGCTGTTCACATGCACAGAATGGGGACACTATGAATAATCTCTGTGCAGGAGCGCTGAGGGTTCAGTGGGACCAGGACAGTGGCTGGCAGACAGGCCATGCTCAACAAGGACACTTATTAGCATGTTCAGTCCCTCTGCCTGCGGGGATGCTGGGAGGGATTCACCTCCTCTCTGGCCATTTTATGATTATGGGGACTGACGAGGGAGGGGACTTCAGCACCAGAGGGTGTGTGTGTGTGTGTGTGTGTGTGTGTGTGCCCACACATGTATGTGTGAGACGTATGTGTGTGCACGCATGTGTGAGAGGTATTTGCATTCACGTGTGAGTATGTACACCCATGTGTGTGTGAGAGGCCGTGTGTTTGCAGACATGAACGTGTGCATGTGTGTGTCTGTCTGTACACATAGGCTCCACACGCTTGTGGAGGGGCCACTCTGGAGGATGGAGCACACCTGCCTCTCGAGACACCCTATGTCACTGGATTTCTCAGAGTCGCCATAATGCCTTTCACCTTTGGCGGCACCGTGACTGTGGGCGCTCCCCATCACAGAGTCCCTGTCTTCCCAGAGCCCACCTGGTGCCTGGCACAGAGAAAGCATCAGTATGTGGAGTAGGTGCTGTGGTTGAATCCCTGAGCAGGAGGCCCAATTCCCGGGGCAGATAACTCCCTGCAGGGAGCCAAGCCCTGGCCTGAGGGATCTGCTCTACCATCACCAGTGCCCAGCAGGCTGGGTGTCAGCCCAAGGCCTGAGGCCATGCGGGTGCAATACTCTCAGAACCCACCAGGCGGAGCCACGTGCCTATCTGCAGACGAGGCTCATTCTCAGGCTTTTGGTTTCAAAAATCCACATTTCAGATCAAATCTGCTCCCAGGCCTCCTCGGCAGCTCAGCCTGAGGCAGAGGTACTGGCCTTGGGCTCATGGGCTGGCTCAGGACCAGATGATGAGTAGGCTGCTCAGGCATGGGGCTGGGCTCCCCCATCTCATCCCCCCAGTCTGTCCTGCCCCCTGGGCCCAGCCACCAGAAGAGCCACAGAGCAGCCTCATCAGGCTGGGCCAGCGGGTGAGGCTGGGGGGCCGGTCCCTGCCTGGAACTGTCTGCACCTCCCTGGGGCCCTGAGCACCTCCCCTGGCAGGGAGGCTGAGCTGAGGCCACACTCACCTTTCCAGCCCTGAAGACATGTCTTCACTAAACTCTGAGCTCTCACTACTGCCTGGAAAAGGAACACAGGTCAATGAGCACGGCAGCCTCACCCCAGAGGGGCCAGCCGCAGAGGGGCCTGTCCTCCTGGCTCACTCGGCCTGGGTCCCTGAGCTCCACGGAAGGGCCGGACAGACAGCTTCCTGACCCTGTGGGTGGCACTGCAACCAGGTTTTTGCTGCTTCTATTTCTGCCTCTCTGCTCTGGGAGGGCTGAAAGAACCATCCATCCCACTGTTCCCGGGTGGGTCCTCTACTCCCTTCCCACTGCCTCCCGGGAGGCTGCAGCTGCCTGCCTGAGGCCCGCTGGGGTCTGGGTCCTTAGTTCTCTGTGTTGGCCTGGTGGCTCGCCGCTGCCTCCCTTCGGGCCCGAGTAAAGCCAGTGCTAGAACAAGCTCACCTGGCGAGAACAGAATCCAAATGAGCACCTCCTCAAGGGTCGGGGCTTCAGCAGGCACTGGTCACAGAGCAGCGGCCAGCATTAGGCACAGCGCGAGGGCGGGCCCAGTGTGCACACAGGGAGAGGCGCGGCCCTCCCCTCAGGCTGCCTCTGGCCACATGGGCAGCACAGAGGTTCCCTCCTGTCACTTCACACTGCTCAGTGCCTGCGTGCTCTTTGGGTCGGTGCTCTATCCCTGGGCTGCCTGCTGGCACCAGGGTTGGGCAGTGGGAAAGGGGGAAGGAAGAGGTCTTGCCCCCGTGGGAGTCACAGGATCGAGAGGACCAGTGCAGCTCCAAACAGGGCACATGCACACGGTGACCCTAATGCCCTCAGCGTATCAGCCTCTCTGAGAAGAGGCCTGCTCCCCTGGTTTAACCAGCCTTTCCCCGACATATCGCCCCCAGAACGCTTCTCCCAAGGCGTACCTCTGAACCATGCTGTGGTACGCCCCAGACGAGGTTCCAATAGGATGACCTCTTCCCAAGACAGAAAAATCAGACATGAACCTTGCTTATCACAGACTTCTGGGGCAGGACAGAGCTGCCTCTTGGAGCGGTACTGCCTCAGAGACTGGCCTCATCTCACAGGGACGTGGGACGCGAGATCCTTGCCCATGTTTCCTGTCCCCAAGCTCGTGGGCCCTCCCTCCACCTTACACGCCTCACCAGACTGAACCCCCAGCCTGGCAACTGTCTAGGCTGCCACCAGCCCCAGGAGGGCTCCCTGTTACGGGAAGCAGACAGACACACAGACACAAGGACTACAGAAGCACAGGCACGCGGACAGGGCATGGCCAGCAGAGAATGCCCATGTCTGATGGCAGTATGACAGGGGACCTGGGCACCGTGGAGGGACGGATCTGAGACCGGAGCTCAGCACTGCTCAGCTCTGACTTCGACCTCGCCCCTCCCGGCTCTGCAGCTCAGTTTTCTGTCCCTCCCGTTGCCATGAGCACATTTCTGGCAGAAGCGCAGACATGCAATTTCATCCCTGAAGATCACTTTTTCATCCTCTCGAGCTCTGACTCCTCAGCGTGAAGACAAGTACACACACGAGAGCCCGGTGGCCCCCCAGCTGCTGTCCTCAGGCAGCTTCCCCACCTCTGCGCTGCACGCTGGGGCCTGTGGCTCCCCAGGGACAGAAGCCCCACTGAGGCGGCAGTCTGGCTTTGATTGACAGCTGCCAACAACGGCGGGTCTCAGGCAGGCCTCTGGCTGCTCCTTCCACTTGCTGGCCATGCTCAGGGCTCAGGGCCGCCCGCAGCACAAGGACACACCTAGGGCACTCCGTGAAGCTCTGGAAGCCAGGAAGCCAAGGCTCCGGCACCTCCTGCAGGGGCGAGGGGCCACGGGGCACTGCACAGCGACAGACAGACACGAGCACACGCCGCTGCGGCCCCGCTGCGGTGTGCAGGCCGGGACGCTTACCTAGGGAGAGTCCATTGGTGACGGCAGAGGAGGAGGTGAGGGCGAGGCCCCTGCGGGGGCTGCGAGACTCTAGGACACTGTCGTCCAGCAGGTGCCTCGCTTTCTCCGATGGGAATGTCGCACTTTTACTCTCAACTACACTCAACTGACACATCATACTGGAAAATGGAAAGGAAGAAAGAAGGCAAGCTCCTTATCTACGGAGTAACAGTGGTTACACCTGCCCCGGGGTCCTGAGCAGATGGCACACCTGTGGGAAGAAGACCTCCACCCAGAACCAGGGTACAAGTCCGGCCTCTGCCCTACCTCATGGCATGACCTTGGGCAAGTTACCTCCTTTTTCTGAACCTCAGTTTCTCCATGTGTCAGATGGGGACTAACAATACTTGCCCTGCCTGTCTCCCAGGATGATTATGAGGCTCAAGTGAGTGGGTGGTGCTCATCAGCGACGGGGCACACCAGTGACGGAGAGTGACCCTGGGTCATGGCTGGTTCTGCAGTCACACACACCTGGTCCAAACCCGTACTCCAACCTTACTCACCACTGCAAGGTACTTCAGCCCGTTCAACCTCGTTGGACTCATTCTTACAATGCATCTAAGACAGCACCTACCTCGGAGGCCTGCAGGGGGCTCAGTGAGGTAATGCTTGACAGCTACGCAGCAGAGTATATAGCACAGAGTAAGCCCTGAACACTCAGCGAGCAGTCACTTTCTCCTCTAGCCTGCGAGTGACTCCAGGGCCAACCGGGGCTGGCTGAAGCTTGTGTCTTAGAGGAAAGGAGGGAGGGAGGGAGGGAGGAAGAAAGGAAGGAAGAGGGGAGTGAGTGAGTGAGTGAGTGAGGAGGGGAGATGGGAAGAAGGCAGGAAGGAACAAGGGAGGGAGGGAGGGATGGATGCAACTGCTCAGGAGCCTGTGTCCAACACCCTGGGGACACAGGCATGGCTGCCCCTGACCATACCAAGGACCACACATGTCCCCTCGCTGTCAGCCCCACAGGGCCGGGTGACGTGGTGGCAGGCTCACTGTTCTATAGGCTCTCTAGCAACTGGCGAGCAGAGACTCACTGGCAGGTGCTATGAAGACACCTAGAGCTGCCCTGGATGACAGTCACAGTGCCCTCTGGACTCTGGGATTTTCACAAGGGAGGCACTCACCGAGCTGGGCAAATTATGCAAGGAGTCCACCATTGCTTCCCTGCCCTTCCCTGCATGCATCCTCCATCAGCTACTGAGCCAGTGATAGCCCCCACCAGCGAGCCCCCCACCAGTGACACCCCCAGCAGTGACACCCCCACCTGCAATAACCCCCATCAGCGATACCCCCACCTGCAACACCCCCCACCAGTGACACCCCCACCAGCGATACCCCCACCTGCAACACCCCTCACCAGTGACACCCCCACCAGCGATTAGACT